TTTGCAAGTCTTCAGATGCTGAAAATGAAGTTGATCTGATTTTGTCGCGAGCCAGCATCTTCAAGACGCCGAAAGATATCGATGATTTGACAATTTGCCTCACTCATAGATCAAATCTCGGTGTTGGATGGAGTCGTGGTTCCAATAGCAGATGTAGAGTGCCAAAAGAAGTGTTCGGCCATGGTGAAGGCAGGGTCAAGTCGATTCCAAAAGGCGATAGGGGAATTGACAAGCGTGTTTCACGGATAATACTCAAGGTATCTGGAAAATTCTTACAACCTGGCTCCGGTAAGTACGCTACTCACCACCGTGTGCAAAATTACGCCTCCCGTCAGACTTAAGTCTCGACTGGGAATTGGTAAGGAGGCTACCAAAAATCCAGACAGAGGCGGAGTTTTCTAAACTAATGTCTGAACACTTTGTTGGCTTCCCGCCGTCTGGCGGGACGCGTAATTATGCATACAGTAGTAAAAGGCCCTCCCGTACTTGCTATTAGACGCTGACAAAACTTGTTTCTCTTCACCAAAAATCACATCAAATTTGTCCTTGCTAAATTTGAAGCATGCTGCACGTATCAGCATCCCCCGGGGGACCCTGTACATAAGACAAAAATCTTCCTAGTAATGCATATTTCAGGATTTTTTTTTTTTGAGCGAAAAAACACCCTAAAAGGTACCAACTACGTCTCTGGTAGTCCACTTAAGTTTCAGACACCGTAAAAGGTACCAGATCGCTGATTTTGACCCCTAAAAGGTACGACAAGCATCCTCACCCATTTGTCATCGCCTAACCCTTCTCACCCCACCCCCAGGTCAGCACCTAAAAAACAAACAAATGTGATTTGCCAACTACGAGCTGTCAATTTCACCTCGTAAAATTCACGTGAACTGGTTAATCAATTATAAAAACCTTTAGGCACTTATCTGTCAGATTTTTATGGTTGACACAGGAGCTCATTACCCTAATGGATTCCTGTTGACAAAATCTGTCCTGTTAGGAGGCAGGACGGCCGTACTTTTGAAGTTTTGTCCGTCTTGACATAATTTGGCAGGGATTAAAATAACTGTTCGTCTGCATTTGTTAAAAAGAGTTTTGTACTAATTTTTTTCAAATTTTACAAAGACTTGCGTACTGCGGAGGGGCCCTAATTGTTTCAATTAAGCTCAATGTTGTTAGTTGTACAGTACGTCCATAATAACCGAGGTTATTAACCTGGAAGATGTTAACGTCGGAAATGTTGCACGCACGTTTGAAAACCTTCATTTGGTAAGTGTACGTTAGTCTGCGTAGCCAGTCATCCAAAGGGAGGGGAGGGTAGTCTCCTCTCCTCTCCTCTTGAGAGCCTTTTACGCAGCTGGCTAAAAGAACATATATCACGCAGCCTAAACGCCCACCTATTTAATACTCGCTTTCCACGGTAAATTTTGTTAAAATTCCTTTCAAAGAAAGTGCATATCTTCACTTTGGATTCGACAAAGAACAAAACATTCTGCACTACAGAATCTAAAATACTAAGCCACATGAGCTACCTTAAGTAACATAAAACGTGCGCGCAGATCGAGCGCAGAGAAAGTCTAAGTGATGTGTAGTTTTTCGCAGTTTCTTGGAAAAGTTTAAAGTTCTCTTAGGCCTAGACTTATAAGCATTGTTGTTCTAGACTTAACCCATGTTGTGCTAGTTTACACTCTCGTACTTTCTTTTAAACTTTGCTTGGCGGTGTGATGAAGTTGTTAGCTTGGCCGTGCTGGCGAGGATAAAGGAAAAGTTCTGTAATTTACCTTTATCGCCGGAACAAAGCGTCTTCGTTAAAAATAAGATGAGATTTCTCACTATAAAATAAGGCCAAGCTTAAAGCTTTCTCCAAAAACCCTCTTTCAACTGCATTACGCATTCAATTTGGAATATTTAGGAATTTAACTTTTCCTTCTTCACTTCACGTAAAACACGCGTTTGAAAATCCCTCGTATTCTTTCAAAACATGTGCATGCGCAGTGTTTGACCGCTGTGTTTAAATTGGCCGCTATTAGCTGTTTACCTCAATCAGTAAAATTTACCTCAAGTACAAATTAGCACTAAAGTCATATCCCTTGGCAAACATGAAGACAACAGCTATATTACTGTTTTCAAAACAATAAAGGAACTCGACTGCGACTTTTTTTTAAGTAAAGAAATAAGCAGTATATTAAGATATACTACTATTTCTAAGCCCGATAATCAATTGGAAATACTCTCGCTGTATTTTGGTCAATTCTGAATTCAATAAAACTTTATGAAACGACTTGAAAGAGATATAGGGGAAAGTTTAGGACAGTTAATCGCTCGGAAAATGGTAAAAATAGAATCAAATCACGTGGAGACAATTAAAAAATGCACCATGAACAAACTGGGAATAAAGCGACCCTTTCTATCTGATATTTTTAAAAGTCGATTTTTTTTAAATTCAACATTCCTTTTTTCCTTTAGCATATAATTTCAGCGGAACGGTGAACCTGAAAGAGAACTTTGTACAAACCGTTCTTACTTCAATTTTGTTCCGTACACTTACTTACAATCACAAACGTGAGAGTATGATCATACGCGCGCATATCTTTTCTTAGATTATGAATTGATTCATTCATGATAATGTGAGGTAGTTTTAAGAATACTTTCATAAATTTATGGTTAGTTTTTCCATTGCCTTCCCTTTAGTTGTTAAGGTGCGAAATATACAATCGAGAGACCTCGAGCAAAGATATATATCATGGTGGAGCTGATTGACGAGCGTTCCCTATCAGTCAGTTTTGAACTGAAAGTACTAGTACGATCGGGTAAAAGTCGAGATGGTCTAACTCCATGGACAGCAAAGTGCTTGTCGGATTGTCTGCTTCATTGCTTGTCTTACTTCACTTATCTTCCATCAGTAAAGAAACGGGTTTAACGTCGAGTTAAAGTAACTAAGACAACGATTATTCCCCTTAGGATGACCAAATGCGATGAATGTGTTTTACTATGTGCAATCGCGGTTACCACGATAAAGAATGGTGTAAAACAAACAACAAATGCTAACTTCACCCACAGTGCACTATGCACTGCTTTTCTGTATTGAGCTATGTTCAGTACATTTAGCTGGCTCGGCTGATGTTGAACAGGATCTTCAGCCTGAGCCTGATGATATCTGAGAGTGCGAAAAATCTTTGTATATGATGCGAGAGAAATAATCAGGCAAAGTGGTATAGTTATGATACGATGCAAAAAAGTTATACGGTCATCAATATTTGAACTCACCCCGCTAATTGTGGATATTTATAAATGCTCACTCAGGGAGGGATATGTTCCTGATCTGCTGAAGCGATCCATAATCAACCCCCTGCCCAAGGTTTCTCCGCCTCAAGAAATTCAATGACTTGAGACGTAATATATCAAGCACGAGGAAGAGTGTTTCATCCGATATCTAAACACCGAGAAGTGGTTGAAAAAACGAGGCGCAGCCGAGTTTTTCTTAACCAACTTCAAGGTGTTTGGATATCGGACGAAACACCCTCTCGAATGTTTGATATAGCTTCTCAGACCATCAATAATTCTTGGAGAAAATCAAAGGAAAAGTTCACCAAATTTTAGGATAATTAATATCACATGTTCAAACCTCCTTCACGGTTGTAATTTCCTCTGTTTTCTCAGCATGAATTATTAATGAGTTTGGGAACTATCTCTCTGACATGCACCCTTGCCAAAGTCATGGAAGGGTTTGCGCGCAGCAGGCTCGTGGCACAAATTTCGGAAAAACGTGATCCACGCCAGTACGCAAGGGAGGGGCACTCCACCACGGACGTCTTGATTTATATCTTACAGACGATTGACGAAGCAACTGATGGTGGGAATTGTGGGAATTGCCGATGTTTCTAAGGGTTTTGACCGGATTGACCATTGAATTCTTCTCAGGGAGTTGGCGTCTTTCCATATAGACACTGTCTTTATTAACTGGATTAGTGCCTTCCTGACTGGAGATCGCAAGCTGTAAGGATTGGTAACTCTCTGTCTCATTGGAAGTCACCCAGGGGAGGTATCCCACAAGGGACGAAACTGGGTGTGATTTTGTTTGCTGTAATGACCAACAATCTTTTGCGTGAATGGCATTTGAGGATTAAATTCGTTGATGATACCATTAGAAATCCTGCCAAGAAACGGTATTTAGCTTACTAAATGTAGTTGTCAATGATATTCACAAGTTTCTATCGAACAATATGAAATTAAACCCGAAAAATGCAAAGAAATGTTAATTAACTTCATGCAAAATGATAGTTTACTACAAGACCAATTGTCCCAGGTAACAACACCGTTGAATGCGTAACAACTTATAAATTACTCGGTATTATAATCAGTAATGATTTAAAGTGGAACGAGCATATTTATTACATATCGAAAAAAGCTTCGAAACGCCTGTATTCCCTGAGGATTCTTAAAAAACCGGGTGTTAATACAGAGTATTTGACAACAATAAAACCTAAACTAGAATATGGCGTACAATTCTGGCAAGATATTCCTGAATTTCTTTCAAATAAGCTGAAGTCAATTCAAAAAAGGGCACTACATATCATCTATACATGCCATAGTAACTTAGATGCCCTTAATACTACCAGCCTTAGCAGCTTGAAAGATAGACGAACTCAGCTCTGCTGTTAATATATTCAGAAGACGACTCAAAAAGACCACCCCATTAACTTCCTCAAGCCGAGAAAAGCATCTAGTGGTCATAGTTACAACTTGCGGGCCAGCGACAACAATAGAAATATTGTTTACGCCGATAGGAGTTGTTGTCGGACCCAGCGTTCAGGTCCCTTTATTTCATTTGCCAGTAAATATGTGAATATGTAAATAATTATTTATTATATTTTTATTTTCTTTATAGTAATAGTAGTGTTAATTATTTGCTGATTGTTAATTCATAGCCCTTTAATTCAGTTAATATATATATATATTATATATATATATATATATATATATATATATATATATATATCAAGAAAAGCGCAAAAAGAAGAGACAAGAGATCGAATCCAGATGGTAGCTACAATGATATATGTGCGCCTCAAAGTTACAATTTGTTTGTACCTCCGTCCCGACAACAGGGCGAGAAGTCTGTCCATGCCTATGGCCGCCATCGTCATCAAAGACGCTAAAAACGATGCAGAGCCCGTGATGTAGGCTGCGTCAAATGCATATCGACAATGGCTCCAGTGTTCCTGAACCAAGGACATCCAATAAGTAGCATAGAGAGGCTGGGCAACAAGACCAACCAACAAATCAGTTGTTGCCAGAGAACGGTACAAGAGTTTGGACGGCGGATGCAAGGAAGATTCTTTTTGAAGGGCAACAAGGATGAGAGAATTCGTAAGGAATGCTGTGATGGAGAGGAGAATGTGCACTGCTGAGAAAAAAAGTAAATATCTCATGTAATCCACCTCCAAAAGATGGGGTGCATAACAGTTCTTCAAATGTTTTCGTCTGTGTTCTACCGCCAGTGAACTTTGTAGTCGACATTGTTCTGTATTCGTTTCCTTTTTCTTGTTCTGAGGCAACTGGCAACGAAAAATAATTCGTTTAAACAGAACACGCCGAGCGACGATGACTGAAACTTCCTTCAATAAACACATAAAGACTTCCTCATCAGCGTTTGCTCATTCAAAGTGCGTAAGCAAATTGTGTGCTGTGCCAAAAAGTTGATTTCTTTTTTCCTGCGCCTCTGACGAGCCTCTTGTATGAAATAGCTGCAAGAGGCAAACAGAGTGACATCTGTGATATCGTTTTTCCACAAGGCGAAAAATAATCCTTTTTTTTTAGCTGATCGACCGTTGGAACCCGTAGGGTGCCTCACGGATGAAATAGCAATAAAAGGAAAAAATAGAGACATCTGTAATTTCAGTTTTTTAACTAAAATACGATAAACAATCCCTCAGATTCAAGTTTCTCTTTAATATTTGAATTAATTTACATTTTAATAGTTTGTTGCATAAGAAGATGTCACGAATCCAATTTTTTCTTACATCATTTAAAGTTTCCAGCTTGATCTTCGTAATTTCAGTTTGTCGAGGCTGATAATGATTGAAGTCCTAATTTCACACAGCTGATATGGACACTTGATTAGCTCCCTATCGATGAAAGTTCATAAGGAAAAGTGACCAAAATAGGAACAAATGAGCTTTAAGAGTCAAACGTACAGACAGACATCTTTGATACTATTAGTATTTCACAATTATTTTAAACTCCGTCTTCTCAGGTAAAAATTCGCCTTTGGCTGAGCAGAGAAGACGGAGTCTTACGTTTAATCTTCGAAAAATTTAAGTGGCAAGCGTTCTCTATCGGTCAGCTTTGCACTAAAAGTACTTATATTATTATGTATAACTGGAGGATGGTCTAACTCCATGGACAGCAAAGTGCTTGTCGGATTGTCTGCTTCATTGCTCGTCTCACTTCACTAATCTTCCAGCAGTATAGGAACGGGTTTAACGTCGAGTTAAAGTGAACTAAGATAGTTGCTATTGCCAATACGACGCCGAAGTGTGATGAATATGTTGTAGTATAAGTGACTACAATTCCCACAACAAGGTATGGTGTATAACAGACAACTAATACTGACTGTATCCACAGTGCACTGTGCACTGCTTTTCTGTATCGCGCCATGTTGAGTACACTTGGTTGGCTCGGTTGTAGTTGATCATGTTCTTCTCCCTGACGATTTCTAAGAGTGCGAAAAATCTTTGTGTACGAGACGAGTGAAATAAGCAGCGAAAGTGGTATCAATATGCGAGTATACAAAGCGGTTATACGCTGATCGAAAATGGTGCATAAAGAGGCGACCAGACATAAAACCCAAAAGCTAGCTATAATAATATAAACACTCTTCAAAGTTACAATCTCTTTGTATCTCAGCCCCGACAACAGGGCGAGAAGTCTGTCCACGCTTATTGCCGCCATCGTCAACAGAGAAACTCCACATAATGCTGAGCCTATGATGTAGGTTGCTCTCACTGCGTAATGACAAAGAGTCCAGTGTTCGTGAACCACGGACATCCAGTAGGTAACGTAGAGAGGCTGAGCAGCAAGACCAACCAACAGATCAGTTGTTGCCAGACAGCGATACAAAAGTTTGGACGGCGCATGGAGGGCAGATTCCTTGTTAAGGGCAACAATTATAAGAGAATTGCCAAGAAATGTTGTGATGGAGAGGAGAATGTTGACTGTTGCGAAAGATGCTGGTTGAAGCCCACCCACCAAAGAGGGGGAGCATACCAGTTCTTCAATTGTTTTTGTCAGTGTTCCACCTCTGGTGAACTTTGTTGTCGACATAATTCTGCATCTGTTTCGACGAGAAATATTTCTTCTAACTGAAACCTTCCTTTAATAACACATAAAGACTACCTCCCTCGCGTTTAATCATTTAAAATGCGTCAGAAATTTGCAGCTGTGGCATGCCCCATGTATGAAACTGATGCTGCTTGATGCCCGCCCACTAAAGAGGGAGAGCATAGCAGTTCTTCAATTGTTTCCGTCTGTGTTCCAACTCTTCTGAAATTTTTTGTAGGTTTTCTAAGATTGCAAGGAGTAATATATCGTCTAAACAGCCCACATCCAGCCACGATCAATGACACCTCATACTTCAGTTAATGATATTTATACACGTACCTCATACTTCAGGAAATTGACAGTTGCGTCCAATAATTAAACCTTTGAAGTGCCTCAGGTATGAAATGGCAACAAGTAGAAAATGGAGAGACGTCTGTGTATCATTCTTTTAAAAGAATGACGAACGATCTTCTTTTACCTGGATCAACTTTCAATGATAGGGGTGTTAACCTGGTGTTCATATCATTCGTGTGAATTTCAGACTTGTATCATTAGTAGCCATGAAAAATTAGAAATGAAAATTTCAAGCTGGCGATTTTACTTCGTCTTAGAAAAGTTGGATTTGAGACAATTTGCGAATACATCAAACAATACAAATTAAAATTTTGGTCACAGATGCAAAAGTATTTTTAAATGTTTGAATCAATTATAATGACTGGCTTTTTCTTTCCATTTTTCGTCACCGGACTGATATTAAAAACAAAACCGTGACAAGATGTTGTGCCGCGCTCCAACGATTTTTTCAAACTCGTTCTCTACCAGCTTTTTCACTTTCGTCAGGAAAGTTATGATGATTTTTTTTAACAAAAACTGTTTTGCTTATTTCGCCTATTTCGTCCCATGATGTAATTTCCTTTCTTCATCGCTTTGGTCAACAAGATAAGAGAAATGGGCGCTAACTGAAAATAGAGGAGGCGGAGAAACTATTGTTTTCCATCAGCCATGATGGCCCTACGCGCTCGGTATCATTTTAATCCCAGAGTTCCATCGGGTACCAAAGTATTCATTTATTTTTCGTTTGATGCCAATTTTCATGTTCAAACTTTATATTTTCATTTTCGATTTACAATTTTTCTTACAAGTGCAGATATAGTTACTAAACATTCTTAAAACGTGATTTAATCACTGAAAAATGCCATCATTACATCAGTTTCTTTAAGAGGAGTAATTGTTTCTCAGGAAGCTTCCTTCTAATCCTCTTTGATAATTCACTGTGGCGACGACAGCTTAAAAACTAAACAAGCGTATATTTTTCGCAAGCAGCTGTTTATTCCAGTAGTTTAAGTTTAATTTAACTTCAAATTAGCATTAAAAGTTAATTCCTTTGGCAAGCGCACAGACATCGGTAAAATTTTCGATTGACGACATGATAGGGAAACTCTCTTTTGTCAGTTTTAATTTGAATGACAGCATAAGCGGTTTAAGCGGTATATCTAAATATACTGTCATTATTTTGGGCCGGTAATTAAGTGCAAACATTATCTCTGTACCGTAGTAAATTCTGAATTTGAAGGCTAGTTTCATCGATGTTGGGTGTCAATCAAATGTCCATATCATTTGCGAAAATAAGGTTAAGCCATGGCCACAGATGCAAACTTAATTAGTCAAATTTTGTGGCCTTTTACCTCCGTTTCGTCTCGGACAAAACGAGAAATAAAACAGAAGAAAAGCAAGAAATTACATTTTTTGAACAATTTTTTGCTGTTTCTTTTACATTCTCTATTTGTTCTCCTCCTTTCGCCAAAAATTTCAAAGTGATTTTCCCGGAAAATTATATGATAAAGTTCGCCTAAATGTTTCTCTGCCAACGCTTTCATGTATACAGCAGTGACTGAATTCTTCATGTCGGAATTCCCCAGAGCGATTAGCAGTTCTCCTCCGATAACCAGAGTTATATGACTGTGCTAAAGTGAACATGATAATCTATCGATCGAGAAGGAAAATGAAGGAATGGATACTTAAAAACTATCAAAACTCGATAAAAATATTTAACGATTATTTGGCGAAGATGAAGTAAATAATATTATTGTTGAATAATTCCCGAGACGAAGTCTAGTTGAAAACTACTCCTTGTTAAACTTACATAAACAGCATTTATTATTTATGAACCTATGGTCACTCTTAGTTGCCTGTTAAGTAACTCCCGCGTATCTTTCAAGCTCTCCAAACTTCCTGTGTGTATCGTATATTAATGACCGCTCACTGACGCGCGAAGCAATTGTTAAAACTACCCGGTCAAAGATTAGGAAAAATTAGTTAGCCATCATAGACGCGCCGCCTCGTTTAAAGTTAGAAAAAATTTCGTTTTTGCAACATAATTACTCTCTGATCCTCTATGGTAATTCAGTACCTTGATAATTATACAAGAACATGTTTGTCGCAACCAGCTGTTGATTTCAGTTAATAAAGTTTCAGTTTAATTTCAAATCAGCACTGAAAATGAATTCCCTCGGCAAACACAAAGACATGGGCTATATTTTTTGTTTTACATATATGTTATTTGCCGGCTGGGAGGTCCGTATGGTGAAAAACTGTGACCGAGGTCTTGAAAATACTGCCCGAGGCCGTAGGCCGAGGGCAGCATTTTCAAGACCGAGGTCACAGTTTTTCACCATACGGACCGACCCTTAGCCGGTAAATAACATATTTATTGTTTTTAAACTTGACGAAATTCTTTCCGAAAGAACCCGAATGATTTATGGACGTAAATACGGCAAGATCTTCCATAAACTGAACAATTTTTGAGTGGGTAAATGGTGGTTAAAATAGAGGTGATGCAAATTTAAGAGAGATGCCTCAGCAACATTTTCATTTCCGTAACGATAAAGGTGATTTAAAAGGCTTCCAAACAAACTTTGAAACATTATTTTTACAATTGTCTGTCACAATCTGACGCCTGTCAATTAGAGAGCGCGCAAGAAAAAAAAAAGCGTAGGAACATTTGAAAACAAACAGAACTAGTTTGGCAAGGACTGTCACGACAATGTTTTCTTCAAAATCAGTTAATGATCTAACGGAAACTATTATTCACTCTCATCGACCATTCATTCATGTACGAAGATTTACCTCTGTTCATTAAGTAAACGGCGAGGAAAGTAATTGCGAGTAAATTCAATTTTTTTATTTTGAAGTTGTGAGAGTTTGCTCGTTTGTTTGCTGTAATGGCGTGTTTAACTCTGATCTTTCCTTCACAAAAACTAAATTCGAACGGCATACTCCAACGAGACACAAGGTAATATAATGCGGCCTTTTCTCAAAAAATTCCTTTAATTTCTGTTGTGCAATTTAAGGTACAAATGTCCAAATTGAACGGAATTGGAAAGACTCACCAGGAGCGTATATTTGTTGTAGAACTTAAATTAAAACTTCGCTCGCTCTTTCACTATGAACAAATTGCTCGAGAAAATTCAGATATTAAATGAATGAAAGTTCCATCGTTCAGTTTAACTGTAACCAAATACCTCACGTTTCAACTTTCTGGGTACTTTTTGGGAACGATTAAAATTAATTGCAGACGGTTTTTAGGCCGCTTGTCACCAACGTAATGACACTATTGTTTATACAAATTCATTCTGAAACCAATATTTTTCTGTCAACCAAAGTGATTTGATAGAGAGAAAAGAGAGGATTCATAAGTTATTTATCGGCTTGAGGTAGTGACCGACGTGTTTGCTTAAAAGTACTGCCCAGCCGGAAAACGAGGTATATTTATGAAAAATGACAACGAAAGTTGGGATGTACTCGGCGACTCACGAAAGCGTTACCGTGGCCCGTGGGCAGAGATAGGAAAATACTGACCGGGTAAAGAACCAATCAGATTGCAAGATTCGTTACCGTGCCCTCTAAAAAAACAATAAAATACGATATGGGACTCCTAGGTCTTAAAAGATCTAATTTATCACTTCTTTTATGGGTGAAATAACCATGTCTTTTTTAGGGCGATAATTAGATGGTATGATATTGAAACAAATTCTGAGCTTATACAAAAGCTTTGAAAACGACTTAGTAAAAAAAAAATTGTGGAACTTAGGGGCAGCAGTTAATCGCTCGGAAATGGAGGATATAAAATCCGTAAAACTCAGAGACAACCTAAAGATACACCAGGGACAAACTGAACATATGTTGACCTCTATACAAATGATGCGAAACTTGTTTTTCGCGGTTGCCAATATAATTTCAGAACATCGATCGATCTGTAAAAAAATTCTGTAACAAAAAGAGATCGTCAATTTTATTTCATATACCCCCGGTACTTTCGTAACCTTCAGTTAAATATACAAGTAGCGAAAACTTCTTGACATAAGCTTTACGGATATTTTTCTGAAGACAAAACAAATTCAAGACTAAAACCGGACCGTCACTTTTGGCAATATGGCGTCAACATCAACGTCGGGCGCTTTGTTTTAATCATAGGAAGACTAGTTGAAATAGTTTTCTCGTAACACCCAGCATCGGCTTTAGACAGGGTAGCTAGGGTCACCTAATTTGTTCTCAGAGATTTAAAGACAATCGACAATAGCCTGTGCAACTATTCTATTGAGCCACTTATTTGTTTTTATCCAATAACTTATCTAACGGCTGCTCTTCAAATATATTCGTGACTTAATAAGTCTGCTTGAAAAGTCTGAAGAACTCGAGGAAGACCTGACTCAGCAAAGTGTTTCTTTAATTGTCTGCTTCATTGCTTGTCTCACTTCACTAATCTTCCAGCAGTACAGGAACGGGTTTAACCTGGAGTTAAAGTAGAGCAAAATAACTGCTACTTTACATATGACGACTAAGAGTATCTCGTACTTGTGCTTGATGATATCTGAGAGTGTAAAAAATCTTTGTGTACGATGCAAATGATATTAACAGGCAAACTGATATAACTAGGCAGCTGTACAAAAAGATTATAAGGAGATAAAAATTACACTTAAAAAGGCAAAAAGGGTGGAAACCCAAAAGTTAGCTACAATGGTATACGTGCGCTTCAAAGTTACAATTTGTTTGTATCTCAGTCCCAACAACAGGGCGAGAAGTCTGTCCACGCTTATGGCCGTTATCGTCATCAAAGACACTAAAATCAATACATAGTTTGTGATGTAGCCTGCACCCCTTGCGTATCGAGAAAGACTCCACTGTTCTTGAACCACGGACATCTAATATGTAGCATTGAGAGGCTGAACAATAAGACCAACCAACAGATCAGTGGTTGCCAGACAACGATACAGGAGTTTGGACTGCGGGTGTATGGAAGATTTCTTGTGAAGGGCAACAAGTATAAGAGAATTTCCAGCAAATGCTGTAATGGAGAGGAGAATGTTAACCGCTAAGAAACAAATTGATGGTTGTTGTTGAAACCCACCCACTAAAGAGGGAGGACATAGCAGTTCTTCAAATGATTTCGTGCGACTTCTACTGCTACTGAAATTCGTTGTCGACATAATTCTGTCTTCGGTGTTTCCCTTTTCTTTTAGGTTTCTGTTCTTGAAACGAAAAATGGCAGCAAGGATTACTGAAGCCTAACTTCCTAAGTAACAATCGCATAAAGACTTACTCATTTACAATGCATCAGGAAATTTTCTGTTGGGTCAAAAAAAACATTTTTTTTCCCAAGAACCTTTGGGTGCCTCTGTTATGAAATTGCAATTAAAGAAAAATATAGAAACACCTGATATTTCACTGTTTTTACGGAGCGACAAAGAGCCGCTCTTTACCAGAATCAAATTCCATTATAATAGGATGCTAATCAAGGGTCCATATCTTTCGTGCCAAGTTAAGACTTGAATTATCAGCTACGGAGAGCTAAAAATGCAAAAGCTCAAGCTTGCGATGTCAATTGTTGTAAGAGAAAAATTGAATTCGTCACAATCACCGAATGTACTATGTAGACCACACAACTGTTCAAAATTAATGCGCGGCCACACATACAAACCTGTTTCAAAATATTTGAAAATAACTGTGTATATAATGGCTTTTTTTCTCTCCGTTTTGTTTCCGACTAGAACTAAAAACAAAATAGTAACAAGATCAAGTTATCACACCAGCAAGCCATTTTCTGCAACTTTAATAGGAAAGTTACTCAATTTCTGTTCGTGCGATTCTCTTAGGCAATTAACGACTCTTCTTTGGTGATGACAATTAGCTCATAATAATTAGGTAAACAGGATAATTTATTAATCGAGATGGAAAATGAAGGGATGGGCGCTCAAAGCTTATCAACAATCGATAAAAAATTTACAATTGTTCCAGGAGAGGCTTCGTCTTTACCAACCCTGACCCATATTTCAAACTCTTTAAAACTGCCACGTGCTTCTTATCACACACTGAGGAACGAATAACTTGTTAAGGAGACACCTGCTTGCCACGACATATTCGGACTTGTATTATGCCTCGTTTACATGACTACGTTTCTTTCGACGTTATACATATATGTAAATACCTGTTTTTAAAAACCTTTCAAATTTGAAAATTTATATCAAATAAATATGTCTTCTCTTTTCTCATCAAAAAGAGACACTATGTGATAAGAAAAGAAAATATATATATACAGACTATTTAAAATATTTTTCAAATAGCGACCTTTTGGAAAATGGGTTTATATATATTTATATATCAGCTTTAGATCCATTGTTTTATTTTTGGACGGGAAAATTGCTGATAGACAAACCAACAACTTATCAATTTCTCCGAATGGCGACTGCAGCTGATGAAACTACTAAAGCGTTTGGGTGGGCTGCGAAAAGTTTTTAATCTCAAAGAATGTCAGTTTTAGCACAAATTAGCACTAGAAGATAATTTCGTTGACAAACAAATAGACATCGGCTATATAACTGTTTGAGTGCCCATTATTAAATTAAAATATTCTCCCTGTATTGAAGATAGTACAAAACAATAACGAGGAAAAGTTAGCCTAGAGACCCTATGATCTAGTTTTCTTACTTCCTACGTCTGGTTAGTGAGATAATAAAAGTGTTTTTGTATCAAGAAATCTCTCATGTAAACGGCAGGTAATTTTGCAATGCTCTGGGGCAATTGTCAAAATTTTCCTTTCATCACAACGGTAACATCTTAATACTGAAGTGAAGAAAACAATTAATAAGTGGTGGTCGAAAATCAATGGACTTATGCTAAGGAATTATCAAAACTCGTCGCACAGTTGTTCAATTCTATCTTCATCAGCAACAATTACTTCAAAACTTCCTCACTAGCGTTTACTCTTTAAAAAGACTACTGACAAAAGCTCGACGTACAACGATTCTACTGAACTTCTTATTTCTTCTGCTTAATCAATAACATTTTTTACGAGCGCTCCCTAATAATAATCGTGACTTAGTGAAAGTCTTACAGCAAAGTGCTTCTCTGATTGTCTGTTTTACTGCTTGTCTTACTTTCCCAATTTTCCAGCAGTTAAGAATGGATATAACTTCAAGTTAAAGCGAAGTAAGACAACTGATGTTCTCCATTTAACGACTAAGTGTGATTGATATGTTTTACTATAAATTGGTGCGCAACAAACAACTAATGCTAACTGCACCCGCAGTGCACTGTACACGGCCTCTCTGTATCGCGCCCACCGACTAGCAACTGCATCTTAACCAGTAAACAGTGTGTGTTAATTAAGATATGAAACACGCAGGAAGGTAAGGAGACATCATCCAGCCATGACGCCCTCAGCCTCGTTTTGAGCACGAAATTTCATCAAATACTAAATTATTCATTTCGTAACATATTTACTTTTCTTTCGACTGTACGTTATTTATTTTAACCTTTAATCCGTTATTTTATTCACCGATGGGGAAATAACGGAGAAGCAAACTAAACGAGCGCTTTCATTGATAAAAAAAAATGCAACAACTTATTTGTTTCTTGTTAAGAAGTTCTTTTTCCGCCAATTCTCCTTCCCATTTATCTCCATTTTAATTATTCCGAATAGCGACTGCAGCTTGACTAGTAGACAGTAATAAATGGGCAACACAGCAGTCAAATGATTACGCATGCGCTCATAGATAGATAATTTGCCTTTGTAAGCAATGAGAATCTAAATGATGCGTAGTTTTTCTCAGTTTCTTGATAAATTTCAAAGTTTCTACGGCCCTAGACTTACACATACTGTTGTTTTAGACTTGACCCATGTTGTGCTATTTTACACTTTCGTACTTTCTTTTACACTTTGCTTGGCAGCGTGATGAAGTCGTAAGCTTTGCTGTGCTGGCAAAGGTAGAAGAAAGGTTCTGTAATTTGCCTTCATCGCCGGAACAAGGTGTCTGCGTTAAAAATAACTTGAAATATCTCACTATAAAATAATACCAATATTTAAGCTTTCTCCGAAATCCCTCTTTCAACTGTGTTACGCATTCAATTTTGAATAGTTAGGAATTTAACCTTTCCTTCTTCACTTCCGCTATTTGCCGTGTACCTCAATCAGTAAAATTTAGCTCAAGTACAAATTAGCACTAAAGTCATATCCCTTGGCAAACATCAGCTATATTACTGTTTTCAAAACAATAAAGGAACTCGATTGCGGCTTTTTTTAAGTAAAGAACTAAGCAGTATATTTAGATATACTGCTATTTCTAGGCCCGATAATGAAATTTGGTCAATCCTGAATTCCATAAAACTTTGTGAAACGACTTGAAAGAAATATAGAGGAAAGTTTAGGACAGTTAATCGCTCGGAAATGGTAAACATAGAATCAATCACTACTTGGAGACAACTGAAAAATACACCATGAACAAACTGGAAATAAAGCAACCCTTTCTATGTGATATTTTTAAAAGTCGATATATTTTTTTTTTCATTCAATATTCCTTTTTCCCTTTAGCAATTAATTTCAGCAAAACGGTGAACCTGAAAGAGAACTTTATACTAACCGTTCTTGCTTCAATTTTGTTCCTTACACTTTCTTATAATAACAAACGTGAGTATGATCCTGCGCGTGCATATCTTTTCTTAGATTATGAATTGATCTAATCATGATAATGTGAGGTAGCACTTAAACTATTTCTATAAATTTATTGTTAGTTTTTCGGTTGCCTTCCCTTTAGTTGTTAAGGTGCGAAAAAAACAATCGAGAGATCTCGAGCAAAGATATATATCATGGTGTAGCTGATTGACGAGCGTTCCCTATCAGTCAGTTTTGAACTGAAAGTACCAGTACGATCGGGTAAAACTCAAGATGGTCTAACTCCTTGGACAGCAAAGTGCTTGTCTGATTGTCTGCTTTACTGCTTGTCTTACTTCACTTATCTTCCAGCAGTAAAGAAACGGGTTTAACGTCGAGTTAAAGTATACCAAGACAACGGTTATTCCCCTTAGGATGACCAAATGCGATGAATGTGTTTTACTGTGTGCAATCACGGTTACCACGATAAATAATGGTGCAAAACAAACAACTAATGCTAACTTCACCCACAGTGCACCATACACTGCTTTTCTGTATTGAGCTATGTTCAGTAAATTTAATTGGCTCGGCTGTTGTTGAACGGGATCTTCTGCCTGAACCTGATGATATCTGAGAGTGCGAAAAATCTTTGTATATGATGCGAGTGAAATAACCAAGCAAAGAGGTATAGTTATGAGACGGTACAAAAAAGTTATACGATCATCAAGTAAAGCGCATAAAGAAGAGACAAGAGATAAAATCCAGATGGTAGCTACAATGATATATGTGCGCTTCAAAGTTACGATTTGTTTGTACCTTAGACCCAACAACAGGGCGAGAAGTCTGTCTACGCTTATGGCCGTCATCGTCATCAAAGACGTTAAAAACAGTGCAGAGCCCGTGATATAGGCTGCGTCAAATGCGTATCGACAAAGGCTCCAGTGTTCCTGAACTAAGGACATCCAATAAGTAGCATAGAGAGGGAGGGCAACAAGACCAACCAACAGGTCAGTTGTTGCCAGAGAACGGTACAAGAGTTTGGACGGTCGGTGGAGGGAAGATTCCTTGTGAAGGGCAACAATGATGAGAGAATTTGTAAGGAATGCTGTGATGGAGAGGAGAATGTGCACTGCTGAGAAAAAAGTAAATATTTCATGTAATCCACCTCCAAAAGATGGGGTGCATAACAGTTCTACAAATGTTTTCGTCTGTGTTCCACTCCTAGTGAACTTTGTTGTCGACATTGTTCTGTAATCGTTTCCTTTTTCTTGTGCTGAGGCAACTGGCAACGAGAAATATTTCGTTTAAACACCCCAAGCTGTGCAATGATGACTGAACCTTCCTTCAATAAACACATAGAGACTTCCTCATCAGCGTTTGCTTGTTCAAAGTGCGTAAACAAATTGTCTGTTGTGCCAAAGAGTTGGTTGCTTTTTTCCGGAACCCCTCAGATTTAAGGTTCTTTTTAATATTAGAATTCATTTACATTTTAATGGTTTGATGCAAAATTTTATACAGATGATATGGACACTTGACTAGCTCCCTATCGATGAAAGATCATTAGGAAACGTGACCAAAATAGGAACAAATGAGCTTTAAGAGTCAAACGTACAGACAGACATCTTTGATACTAGCAGTATTTCACAATTATTTTAAACGTCGTCTTCTCGGGTAGAAATTCACCTTTAGCTGAGTGGAGAAGATGGAGTCTTACGTCTCGGAAAATTGGAAGTTTTGGAAAGAATTAATTAAGAAAAGGAAAGTGTTTATTTAAATTCATACACCCCCTTACACAATGTTTGTTATTATCAATGACATTTTCAAACATTCATAAGCAATGTGGATATTTTTCTAATGACAAAACAAATTCAAGTTGACAACTGTTTATAACAAGGACAAGAGAGTTGCCAGGAGATGCTGTGATGGGAGGAGAAAGTACACCGCAGAGAAGGAAATGGCTGATTGATGCCGGCAACTCATCAGCCAGAAAGGTTGAAAAGCCGCTTTCCAAACCTGGTGTTCCTTTGTGTTACACCTCCTATATAATTAGTTGTCGCCATGCAGTTCAATATACGGTCGTTTTCTTTTCCCTGCTAGTTACCTGTATTTGAAACGACAGATATTTCCTATCAACAGCACCTGGCCGGTCACGATCACTCAGACCCTTATTTCTTAAGGCCCGGCCACACGCACGCAACATTTCAACGCAGCATCTTGCAACATTATTATTATTAACCAGACATCTTGACCGAACAAGCTTGTTCAAGAAATGATTTATGATATAGGAAACATTTCGCTTCAAGATTGAAGCCCACATTCCTCCAAAATTAAATCATTTACAATTCCAATACTCAATTATGTCACAAGAGAACCCAATTTCCTCCCACAGTTGCATTAAATATAACTCTTTGTCAATTTCTTTGTAACGAGTAATTCTCTCACTGATATGTTATTCCGTCGATAAACTCTAAAAGTTCCTTTTATAGATACAAAAGTTTTATGTTACTGGACCATGAAGGATAGAAACATTGCCTCTCGCGGGAAAATTTTCCTGCAAATTATCTTCCGTAATAAGTGAGGCAGGATGTTTTTCCAGTTTTTCATATATTCCTTTGCATTAAAGATCCAACAAACGTCAATCAATCAGTCAAACAATCAAGTATAGATAGGAGTGAAACCCGAGAAGGATCTAGCTCCACGGACAGCAAAGAGCTTGTCTTATTGTCTGCTTCACTGCTTGTCTCACTTCTCTAATCTTCCAGCAGTAAAGTAACGGATTTAATATAGAGTTAAATTAAACTAAGCCTATCGTTAACCGCCAGAAAACGACTAAGTGCAGTGAATATGTGTTACTTTGGCTGATCAAAGTTTCTATTATAAAATATGTTAAATAACAAACAACTAATGCAAACTGCACCCACAGTGCACTGTACACCGCTTTTCTGTATTTCACCATATTTAATGCATTTGGTTGGCTCGGCTGTTGTTGGACATGATGTTGTACTTCAGCCTGATAATGACTGAGAGTAAGAACAATCTTTGTGTACGAGATGATTGAGATTAGCAGAAATAGTGATATGCTTATACGGCCAAGCCATAGGGCTATAAGGTAATTTAAAATACAGCACAAACCAGTTAAACTTGATAAAACCCAAAAGGCAGCTAGCATGATATATATGCGTTCCAAAGTTACAGTTTGTCTGTATCTCAGTCCCAACAATAGGGCTACAAGCCTGTCCACGCTTATGGTCGTCATCGTCAATAAAGAAACTCCGCAAAATGTATAGCTTGTTGAGAAGGTGGCGTCGCTTGCGTATCAACAAAGACTCCAGTTATCGTTAGCCAAGGACATAAAATAAGTAGCCATCATAGACTGGCTAAAAATACCAAACAATAGGTCAGTTGTTGCCAGGTAACGACACAAGGGTTTGGACGGCGGGTGAAGGGAAGATTCCTTTTGAAGGGCAACAAGGATAAGAGAAATGTTGTGATGGAGAGGAGAATGCAAACTGCAGCTGAGAAATAGATTGACTGTGGTTGTAATCCACCTGCCAAAGAAGGGGAGCACCGAAGATCTTTAACGCGTTTGGCTGTGCTTCATCTTTGGCTAGATTTGTTTCCGCCATCATTCTGTAGTCGTTTTGGTCTTTCCTTCAGGTTACGTGTGATTGCAACATGAAATGTTGCGTCTTGAGAGCAACTGCCCAGCCTAGAAGTCACTTAAACTGCGTTGATCACTGAAACTGAATAATCATATGAATAATTATATGAAAACTTTTTCAATCGCGTTTACACGTTTGAAACGCTCGGGAATATTGTCATGTGTGTCCAAAAAAAATGGTGAACCATTTACATGATTTACATGGACCTTCTGATCATTTTACAAATTTTGTCTTTCACAAACGATTGATCCTTAAAAGAGAACTTTACGAGAAACAGCGATAATCAGGTTTGGTTTTAGTAAAGTAAAACGTCTTAAACAATGCCATGCACCGCAAATTGTTATTTGGTTAGAAATCCTTGATTCATATTTCTCACGTCAGGATTTTTGATAAAAACGAAATCTCGAGTCAATATTTAGTTCTACCTTGGTGACATGTTTCTCAGTTCGATCGCCATCAGGAGATGCCTGTATAGTTCTCCTTTGTTATTTCTGCAGCTTTCTTTGTGAAATGGTTATGATAATCTGGTGTTGGGTAATGATAAACACCCTCAAAATAAAAACAATCCTTTCTCGTCGCCTGTGATCTAGATGATCTCTTTATTTGCACAAAAAAGCTTAGCCTTTAATCCTTTCCGGGTTTTCATTGTTCAAACAATGTTATCGATAAGCTTCTTAGAAGTCAGTGAGTCCATCGGCACCATTTCGACTATATCTACCAATAAATGCTATAAATACAAGTCTTCTCCACTTCTACGAAATATTTTGCCATCAAACAGAAAAATGGAAATTTTTACTAGCTTCAGGAAAGACTACAAGAGACCAAAGAATCTCGAAAGTTAATATATTTCACTGGGATTTTATCTATTGACACTTAGACCCAGTTCTTTAAACAAAGTTCAGTCGTTGTTTGACAAAACTGCGTTCTAAGCCATCTTCAATTTAGCTGAACCTTTCATCTTGGTATATATTTTTGTGAATAGTATCTAGAAGGTCGAGATCTAATAAAGGAAGGACATTTATTATGATTAATCTACCCTCTTATAAAGAACACCTGCTTTTCACTGCTCGCGTAAAACCAAGGTTTGGGTTAGACCTTGTGTAAATAACCGGCCTTAAATTTTTGATGAAACATACCATTTATTTTGGACTTTTTCGCTCAAAATTACGATTTCTTGTCTTTAACAAGACTTACTTTGAACGGTTCTACGGCAATATCGTGTCAAAGTCATGCACTTTATTTCATGCAGTGAGGTTAAAAATTTGAAATTATTTCACCACCCGTAAGAGAAGAACTTAAAAGTCACTCCTTCACTACCCTTTCGGAATCAATTTTATCCTATACATGTACTTTCTTATCACTAAGATAGTAAAACGAGTAAGTAGAATCAAACTAGCGTCCCGTTTTTTGCCCTACTTTGCGTGGACGGCATTTTTTATGTCGATCAAATCATAGGTTGTTGTATTCAAAATAACTACCGTCGTAAGAAACTTACTTGTCCCAAGTATTGCCGTTAGTGATACGACTCTCTGTCCTTTAGCTGTGCGTACACTTGGAAATAAAGTTTATCCACAGAAGCCGCGATTGAAATCATTGGTTGTTAATAAGATAAGGAATTTTTTTTCGTATCAAGCCGACTGTAGTCAAACGCCTCCCTCAATTAAGATGAATACCATTCTCCAATTCGTACGATATCGTTAACGTGTAGATTCCATGATTTTGCTTTATCATGCGCAAAATGAGCCATGTTGATGTATGGTGAGAATATCTAAAAGCTTTGTACAGCGACTTCATTAAGCTTCTTACTTCTTCCTATTCAATGATACATCTGGCAGGTGGCGTTATCTAATAGCATCGTCACGTTACTTACTCGCTTGAAACAACTAAAAAAGAGTATAATTGAAGATCTAACCTCGTGGACAGCAAAGCGCTTGTCTGATTGTCTTCTTAACTGATCTTCTTACTTCACTAATCTTCCAGCAGTAAAGAAACGGATTCAAAGTCGAGTTAAAATAAACCAGGGTACTCGCTATTCCAAAAGCGACGACTAAATGTGATGAATTTCCTTTCATATGAGCCATCAAAATTCGCTCGAGAAGTATTTTAGTAATGTTAGGGTATGTGTATACGAAGTATGCTGAGTTTTTGGGAGATTTCTTCTCCAAGTCTATGAAGTATATTTTGGTTGCCTTTGGCCTCGCACCAGCTGCAGGCATTGTAATCAACAACGTATGAATAACTGGGTTTAGTTTCTAAGGAAATTGTGGTGCCGCGTCGATGAGGGGTACAACGAGATAATTTGGTTTTATAATCCAACTGCACAAGGTAGAGTTCAAATAATGCGAATATATGTATATACCACATGTATACAGTTGGTTATTTTGTACTGCAAAAAAACCTGTTTAACCGGTCGGCTACGCACGCTGCGCTTCTCTATCCACTTAGCTTTTCCCGCCTTATGAGAAATGAGCAGAAAGACATGGCGAACAAAAAGCAGTTAGATCATAAATAACCTACTAGACTATTCATTGGTTTGTAGTATTGCCTAGTACTTTCACTCCTTGTTTGAATTTGACGAGCCTGTGGGTAAAGTCAAAATACGGCACACCTCATAAAAATATTCAGGTATGCGGATATTAACGCGATATTTTCCTCCGTTTGAAGGTCATGATCTTTTTCTGTTACAAAAATGAAAACATTAGGTACACAAAGTGTCCCATCTCAACCCGCCCATGCTACGTATACCTATGTTCTTATAGATGATATCATGGATCAGGGGGCTGTGCACAAAGAATAACATTAACCAGAAATTTTGGGCTCATTTAATAAGTGTGGTGGTTTGTGGTCTTCGCGAGAGCCTCGTTGATTAAGGTCGAGATTTATCGGGACATGAAAGTTTCGCATTTCATTTTTTGTATTATTTTTAATTCAAACGTGTTTTTACGGCTCCTTTACGCCCAACGAACACGCCTAACAACTCACGTTCCATCACGTACCATAAAAACAACGTCCAAAGTCCATTAGAAGATACCCAATCATTGCACTACGTGAACATTTGGCAATTTTTCACGCGCTTGAATTGTATTCCATCAACCAAATTCGCATCTACGCGCGCCCGTGTATTATTCACTATCTATGACTCATTTCCTCGGGAAAGTTCACAATGCGTCATCAACTTTTGGTTTTCCTGAGAATGTCACGCAATGGTAAAAACATCATTATGGTCATGAAACAAAAAGTGAGTCATTTGCATCATTTTGGTGGCAGCGAGAAATTTTTAACGCTCGCCATCCCCAGCTCGAAGCGTTGCTTCTAGGTTATCGCGAGCTAAATTTCAGAGGAATAAAATCAAATATTCCTACGTCGTGAGACCACTAGGAAAAGAGTACCCTCTCGACACCGTTCGTGTTATAAGTCACCTTCTGAAGAACTCATCCAAATAACTTCGGTCTTGCAAAATTTTACAAATTTAACAGGTTCTTAAGGACGAATTCAACGCTCCATCGCTGACGAAACGTCGTTTTAAGGTAAGCTCTGAAACAATTAATTAGACCAAGAGGATTTTTGTCTCACCCACTCGCACTGTTCCATCAACAACATTGCCAGTTTGTATTAACAAATAAAAACTTATTACATTGTAAAATATAGACAATCCGGTATGAGGCGTGGGGTCTTGGTTTCATATAGGTCTTTCAGCAAAGTGAGCCGGCAACAACACACTAGACCATATGATCGCAGACAAGAGCAAGTTATGAAAATATTATCGATTATTGATTATAAACTACCGTCTACGTGTTACATCCTGTTCGCATTATAGAAATTGAAAGAGGAAGCAGTTGTCACAAACACGTGTTTCGAGGGAAAGATGTAAAACGCTCCTTGCTTATTAAATGATAAAAAACTTGGCAGGTATTTTAAGTCAGAGAAAATTTTAAGGCGACAAATCAAAATACGAATTCTTTAACACATCATTTGACTTCTTTTGAAAAAATGTAGGTTATATTAAGAACACAGCGTAACTGAATATTTATCAGCACACCTGTAGAAAATGAAAATAAGCTGAAATCCAGCTCACACATAGATTTTGGAATAAATGATCGTCTTCTTTGCTCTTTTTTTTTCTGTCCTACATAAATTAACGAGTGAACCACATGCTCCTCGTTCTTGTTCGTCATAACTTGAGTCGGAAATTAAACGAAAATTTGAATGAGATTGCCTAATTGCATTTGCTCGTTCCACATAAAATCATGAGTGCTACCCGTTGGTGATTTTCATTGAAGGCATTCAGGGTGGCGAACATTTATCTATTAGTTTAGTTTGAAATGACAGAAAGAAATAGATCCTGAACGATCTTGGCAGGAAAATTTTGAAGATCCGCAAAGATCTTGGCAAGAAAATTAAAGATCTTGAAAAGAAAATAAAAGACCCTTGAAGATCTTATAAAGATGAAACAATTTTTTTAATAGAAAAAATCCGAGCCCCAGATGGGACTTGAACCCACGACCCTCCGTGATCTAGTCGGATGCTCTAACCACTGAGCTACTGGAGACTCTATGGTGAGCGAGGGTCAATTTGTGGGCCTCGACTGGAACCG